GTAATGACCTATGCTACAACCACATGGATAAACCTGGAAAACATTATGTTAAGCGAAAGAAGCCAGACACAAAAGGCCACATACTGTAGATTTCATTGATCTCAAATGTCCAGAAAAGGCAAATTTCATAGAGATGGAAAGTATCTTGGTGGTTGCCCGAGGAACTGGGAGAGATGGTTAACAGTTTCAGAATCTCTTTGGGGTGGTGAAAATATTCTGGAATGAGGGAGTGCTTGTAGGTACAAAATACCGTGGATATAATGAAAGTCACTGAACTATATACGCTTTATAACAATGCATTCTATGGTATGCAAATTATAATCTCAATTAAAAGTAAGGGAAAATGATAAAGGATGGCCATGACTCAGTGAGTCAAGAATCATGATCTATATAATTCCATGCACCTGAATTCCTTCCCCCTCAGCATCTCAAATAAAGATCAAGGCAAAGAATGCTGAGCACCTAAGCAAAGAAGTGGCTTAGGACATGGCCAGGCAGGATCATGTTCAATGCTGAGAAATGGCACAGAGAGAATGAAAAGCCTTCCAGTCTTCGGTGATGAGAAAACTGAGAAGAGGCAAAGCCCTTCGCTGACACAGGAGATAAGAACAAGAAGCAGGTTTCCAAGGCCAAGAGGGGAAGCTGGTCACTGGACAGACGGAGCTTATGGTTCAGAGGGACCCTGAGCCAGCAAGGAGGCAGAGGACACAGGTCTGGGGCTCAGAGGAAAGGCCAGGTTGCCCTGCGTAGGAAAGATGGATTTGGATGTCGTTGAGAGCGCGCACACGGGGGGAAGTGCCCGTTGTGTCCTGATGGACAGAAGCATGAGTGATCAAGCAGGAGTCAAGGCGGAGGAGACAGTGGTGCTGGGGCCTCAGGAGGAGAGAAGTGCCAGGAAGGAAGCCACCAACTATGCCCGCTGTGGCTGGCTCAGAACAGGAAAGTGCCCACTGGATTGAGTGAGCAGTGATCACTAGCCAATTTTGCCCAAGTGACCTCAGTTTAATGTACACGAGCACCAAGAATTGCATCTTACTTTAGCTTAATTTGGGCCAATGTCAACATTCAACCCAAATGAAAGAAATCACTTTTAAAAAACAAAATCCAGATGACTCGGTATCTGTGTACACAAACAAGTCAGTGTCTTTTCCTTATTTATCATATTTATTCACACATTCCCTGAGCTAGGATCTTTTTCTTTCTTTCTTTTTTTTTATTTAAATTTTTTTTATATACTTATGATAGTCACAGAGAGAGAGAGGCAGAGACACAGGCAGAGGGAGAAGCAGGCTCCATGCACCGGGAGCCCGACATGGGATTCGATCCCGGGTCCCCAGGATCGCACCCTGGGCCAAAGGCAGGCGCCAAACCGCTGCGCCACCCAGGGATCCCTCTTTCATTCTTTCTTTCTTTCTTTCTTTCTTTCTTTCTTTCTTTCTTTCTTTCTTTTCTTTCTTTCTCCTTCCTTCCTTCCTTCCTTCCTTCCTTCCTTCCTTCCTTCCTTCCTTCCTTCCTTTTCGTTTTCCTTTCCTTTCTCTTTTTTCTAAGATTTTTTTGAATTTATTTATCAGAGAGTAAGTGAGAGAGAGAGCACAAGCAAGGGCAAGAGCAGAGGGAGAGGGAGAAGCAGACTGCCCTACTGAGCAGGGAGCCCAATGTGGGGCTGGGTCCCAGGACCTTGGGATCATGACCCGAGCTGAAAGCAGACCCTTAACCAACTGAGCCACCCAGGCGCCTTTTTTCTTTTTCTAAAAAAGTGTTATTTTTCTTTAATGTATATGATAGTATAGAGATGAGAGATCATAGTTCCCACCTGAGCCAATCTTGACCAGCCTGAGAACGGGCCCCTCTACCCTCATGAAAATAATGTTTACAGATTTTATTTATTTATTTAGATTTGTTTATTTTAGAGAGAGAAAGAGACAGAGTGTGGGGGAGAGGGGCTAGGGACAGAATCTCAAGCAGACTCCTCGTTGAGCACAGAGCCAGACAAGGGGCTTGATCCCACAACCCATGAGATTGTGACCTGAGCCAAAACCAAGAGTCAGATGCTCAACTGACTGAGCCACCCAGGTGCCCCAGATCTTTTTTAATAAAAGGATAAATATTATGTTTCACAGTCCATGGGGGAGACAGGAAGAACATTAACTTGTTTTTACCATAGGATCTTAACTATGTACACATGCATTTAAAAAAGGGGGGTGTGGGGGAATGAGCACTTGTCTCTAGGTAGTCTGTATAGTATTTGTATTTTTCAATTACAAGTACCTTTTGATACATTCAAATGTTCCTGCAAAGGGCATGCATTACTTTGAAGATCAGAAAATGTGGTAAGGGCTGGGGGGAAAAATGGTTTAATCACACACAAACAGAAGGTAAGACGGGATAATATTAATGTTAGATGAACAAAATTCAAGGCAAGAAAAAAAAAGTATGCTTTTAAGATAAAGAGAGCATTACATAATGGTGACAACCACCACTAATAATGAAGCCACGAAGATCCAGATCTACAGTTACCAAAGAAACTGACAACAAGATACAGAAATCAAACATTATTAGGAAGATGGGAAGGACTAGTCATTGTAGGAGGAGATTTTAAAACACTATCATCAAAAAGACTTAAGAAAATAAACTCAGACTCTACCTAAATACACAAAATTGATGTCTGGCAGGAATTCAGTTCCATGATTACAGTGTGTGGGGGTCTTTTCAAGTGTATATGGAACATTTACAAAACTCGATAATATTAGTCACAAAGAAAATCTCAACAAAGAAAGAAATCTGAAGTTCCTGTTCCAATTAAAGAGAAGGCTCTTCTGGCCTGGAGAACACAGAGAGGCTAGAGCCAAGGAAAAAAAAGAGGGAACCAGAGTTAATATAGTCCACTGGGTATTTGGGGGGCGGGGGGAGCAGGGACAGAAGAGGGTGAATGGGAATTAGCCTTATGGTCAGACTGGACTGAATACCTGTCCCACCCTGTTTCTCACCCACTAACCAGCTTCATTGAGAGCTGAGATGCGAACCACTGAAATGGCACTTAACTCAGTGGTTCTCAGCGTGAGGTCCCTGTACCACCAGCATCAGCCCCACCTCGGAATTTGGGAGAAATGCAAATTCTCCGCCATACTCCGGACCTCCTGAAATGGAATTTCCTCCAGGGAGGATGCCTTCCCTTCCTGGTCCTACTTCCCCATGTCCCCAAAGGCGTTCTCTCCCCATCACACATCAACCAACACACTCAAATCTTTTGTCTCAGAGTGTGCTTCCAGGGGAACCCAAAATAAGACATCTCCCAGGGACCATGGCTTGGGTTCTGGTTGAGACTGGCTTGTACTTCCAGGTCTTCCTCCCTGGCTGGGCCCTGCCAATATTTCCTCAGGGGAGGGAGCCCCACTGGTAGTGAGTCCTCATCCCAATTCAGCCCAGAAGAGACCACTCACTTTCTTTTCTGGATTTGCTGCTCTTCTCTGCACTGCCTCTAGCCACAGCCCCCACTGACCCTTTGCCAGCCCTGTTTCTATTCATTACTCACTCCAGGCTGGACAAGGCTCATCAAATCCAAGTCCCATCCAGCACTGGGAGGCCAGCTGTGCAAGACACGGGGGCACCACCTGCTACGTGCTTCCACAAGGGAATGGCAGCACAGAGCAAGGGCCTTGGGAAGGCGGCAAAGGATCCTCTGAGGAGGGCACACATCGGGGACACCTGGGGAACAACTGGGTGGACTTAGACCAGCAAATGAAGGGCACATAATTGGGGGTTCCTGTGCTGCAGCAAGAGATCCACAGTGGGCACACAGGGAGGCTGCAGGGAGGGCTCTGGGAACCACATCAGGGAGACGTCAGGGCTTCAAAGAGCTGAATGAGCCACATTCACACAAGAAGACTATCAGTATCTCACAAGACACTACATTATCTACAGATAATGAAATGGCCACAGGTAAAAAGAGAAAACTAAGGATGTGAGAAATACAGCAAATGACCCATCAACCCTCAACATCTGGAGGCCCCCGAGAAGGCAGCACCCCGACTGGCAGACTGCCCAGCCCAGATCCCCTGGAGCCCTTGGTGTGACAGCCAGCCAGCACGGAAGGGGCAGCGGGACCTCTGGACCTGGGCCGAGGACAGGTGACGGGCTCTGACCAGAGCTCCTGAAGGTAATCAGCCTTCACATAGCGTTGTTCCTCCCCGGGAGTGCACCCGGGGTAATCCTTCTCTCCTCAGCACGCTGAGAGCAAGGGGTTTAGCCTGTCCCTAATCCTTATCCAACAGATAAGCCCCCTTGGCCTGAGCAGGCACACTGGCTGGCTTTCCTTTATGTCCTCAGCTTGTGGGGGTTTCTCCCTGCCATGAGCATAGTGCATTTTGGAGGCTAAGAGCCAACACAAAGGCACAATTAGAAGACCAATCTCCCCACCACCTCTCGCCTTGACACCAGCCTTCCCCTACTTGTCTCTGAGAACCTCAGAGCATTTCTGTTATTGCCACCCAACACGGGCTTGTTTTTGATTTTTTAAATTGAGCCATCATTGCCTACAGGGCTGAACTCCGAGGCGCCTGTGCACACCGCTCATTTCTGAAACCAACGATCATTTTGGGTGCAGCGGCCCAGAGGGGCCTTCGGATGCCAGCTGAACGGCTCCCATTGCAGGACGCTTTCACTGTTTATTATACCTCCTGGCAGTGGGGTTGGGGGGCGGGGAGTGTGGGCAAATTCAGCCCTTCAGTGTCAACTTCAGTGTCAACATGTTTAGGTAACATGTAGGGAAGAAATGAGTTTAGACATGAGGCTGGTCATTTATCCTTAAGAGCCACGAGGACGTGCAGTCTAATGGACCAGCGTTGGCCCACATGTCTTCCTCAAAACATCTCCTGCTCCCATTGCGCAGGGGACAGGATGCAACAACACGCAGGCTCGCGTTACAATGCACGTGGCACTTCCCGGCTACTGACACCGTGCATGGGCATGTCCCTCCCCCAGACAGCTTGGCCACCCCTTACCTTCGTCACTGTTGTCGTCCACCAGGATGATTTCCTTCAGCAGGTGTGTCGGTGTGTGATTGACAGCACTGTGCACGGACCGCAAGATCACCGACAGGGCCTCGTTCACGAAGATAAATATGATGGAGATCTGGGGCAGCTCCTTGGCGTACTTCAGCTCCTTGCACCTGCGGGCAGAGGTGGCAGGAGTGGAGTCAGAGGAAGGAGGAAGGCAGGGGCGCTGTGGATGGACACATGGACATGGCACACGTCCTCACAAGGTGTGAATCCCTGGGTCCCTCTTGGCCCCTCTGGGCTAAAACCTTAAGGGATTTGGTCCCAATTCTCCCAAACTTACCACTCCAAAGGAACCAGAAGCATCTCCCAGGTACATTTACCGTATCATGGGCTGCCTATGTGCCTGTACACACCACCCGATCCCACCTCAGGGCCCGCCTGCCTGACTCCCCATTGGGCGCCTGCATTTCCTGGCCTGGAGCCTACCTCACTGCCACCTAAGCAATCTCCCTGCCCCCATCTGCCAGGAGCTGATGCATAAATACCCAGCTGGCTCACCCCAGGAGCAGGTGGACTCAGAGGGTGGTTTACACTGACTTCCAGAGACTTCCCCCCCACCCAGTGGGATGAAGCTCCATCATGCACAGGGGCAATCTGCACACTGCATCATTTAGGGGTGCCTTCCCTTCCAGGTCCTACTTCCCCATGCTCCTAGTGGTATTCTCTCCACCTCCCAAATCAACCAGTGCACTCAAATCTTTGTCCCATGGTCTGCTTCTGGGGGAACCCAAACTAAGACATGTACTGGAGACCCTGCCCTGATATGCACATGCCAATAATCCTAATCAAGGGAGCAGGCCTTCTGCCTGCATAGGACCGTGTTGCCTGACACAGCCTGACCTTGCGGGCAGATGGGACCCCCTGCCTATGGGGTCCTCCTTCATGGCAACTCTCCCATCTCTGAAAACAGGGAGAAAGAGAAGAGAGTCCTCTTCACACAGGCTGGACACGGGGGTGTAGAGCTCTGGCCTCCCTAGAGCTCCCAGCGACACGAGAGGTGGTTTAATGCCCAGGGGACATGCTCTGCAGGCTCAATCACAGGAGCACTGGCGCCCTGTCCCAGGGGGACTGGAGAATTTGGTCCTGTGCTCAGGCTGAGCCACGGTGGGAATACCGAGCGGAAACTGCGCAGAATGGAAGGGCAAGCTCGGGCATCTCCATACATTCTCCTCCTCCTTGCGTGAGACTGAACAATACATAGCACACATGTTAGAGGAGGAAACAAAGGAAACTAGGTGAAGGAATGCAGTGGGAGGGGAACAGCACTGTGGAAGGAGCCAGAAAAAAAGGCTGTTTTTTATGCGGAACAGCTTGGGCTGTGTCAGGCCATATTAATCATGCAGGCAATTTTCGGAAGAAAATAAAGTTTTGTTACAATCTACATTTGTGTCTCCTGGAGGAGACTGTCCAGGGATCCATTGATCATGGAGCCTCATTTTTACCACGTCGCTGTAAATTCACTTCTGGGGGCTGCCAGGGAGATTAGAATGGTTATTGACGGGCTTCTGGGCAGTTGGCAGGAATCATCCCATTTGCTGCGTGGTGATCTGAGGGAGGAGGGCACCCCGGAAGGTCCCTCTGAGCCCCCTCGACCGCCCCGAGCCTGGCAGGCCGGCAGCTGCTATGACTCACCAGCCCACCCACGTGAGCCACACGCTGTACACACTCACCTATTGCGAGCACTCCTCCCTCGGGCTGGTGTCTTTGGCCCCTTGTTTTTAACACCTTCTGGCTTGGAATTAAGAAGCCAAAAGACCAGATTGCATCGTACCAGCACTGCCTTCACCCGCAGGCAATGGGGTCATGATGCAATCAGGACTCAGGTGTGAGTCCAGCGTCTCCACTGGAGCACGCAACTCCCCCCCCGCCACCCCCGCTGTGAAATGGGAAACATGGGAGCCTCAAGGGAGGAAGGGGGGACCTCCTCCCGCCCCATTCAGTAAATTGTGGAGGAGCAGGTTTCAAAAATGAGAATCATTCTGTCACGCACTGGACATGTCACCTGAGCACACTGTTCATATTTCTTCATCTCTAAAAGTGTCAAAATAATCCACACCACACCTAGCTGTGGGTGCCAGGCTAAGATCCCCACAAGGATCATTTCACAGCCCCGTAAAAATGCAACGTACCAACTCAAGGAAAGACCCAGTCGGCCTGCCTGCCCCACGCTCCCACTGTCCCCTTCTGGCTCCTCTGTTCTGTTCTATGTACTCCCTAACACCATGAGCCAGGCTTCCAGAGCTTTCACTCAGCCCAGACCCTTCCTGCAGGACCCACCTGGGATTCTCTTCCCAGGCCTGGGCTATCCAGGCCTCTATCCTTGCCCAGCTTACAATTCATCTCTCCTGTGCCCGATGCCCTCAGGGTTTCACAGTGGGCAGACAAGATGAATGCAGTCATTATTGTGAAAATCAGCATTCTTTCTTTGGTCTTTAATGTCTAGGGAGGTGGACTCCATCTCAAAAAAAAAATAATAACCTTAGCTGGCTTATTGCCTGCTATGTAGAAAATGTGCAGAATATGCTGGAGAGATGGGCACTGCATGCAGTGTTTTTTTTTTTAAGATTTTATTTATTTATTCATGAGAGACACACAGAGAGAGGCAGAGACATAGGCAGAGGGAGAAGCAGGCTCCATGCAGGGTGCCTGATGTGGGACTTGATCCCAGGACCCCAGGATCATGCTCTGAGCTGAAGGCAGATGCCTAACCACTGGGCCACCCACTTGCCTCAGGCACTGCAGTTTTGAAGCAGTAGGGAGTAGGTGCACAACCAGACACCCAGTGCCCAATGGCAGAAGAGGAGTGCGGGAAGGAAGATTAAGTGTGGATGGTGCAGGCAAAGGGAGAGGCTCACAGGCCATAGAAATACAGAGAGAACACCCAGGGAAAGGGAACAGACATGGCTCCTACCCCCTAGCAGTTGATCCTGAATTCCTGCTGTGGCCTGATGCCCCTCAGAGAGGGTACCAAACCACACACACCCGGGTGTCCCACCTTGTACATAGGCTAACCTGAAAGAAGCCCTCCCTATCATTCCCAAGTCCCCACAGAACTGAGTGAGTGGAAGCCGCTCTGTGCTCAGTGCCCCGGTGATGTGCATGGTACTCTTGGGGTGGCCCAGTGATGGCTCACATCAGGCAGCTGGACAAATGGACTTGAGCATCAGCTCACAGTTTGGCTTCTGGCCCCTTCTCTACATAATGGAACATATGAAATCAGACATGTTTCCTGCCCATCCCCCTCACCCGACCGCCTTCCGGGCTACAAAATTCAGTTAAGAGCAACCTGGAAGGCTGTGAGGATAAAGAAGAGCTTCTGGATCTGCAGATACCTGCAAGGTACCCAAGAATGAGCAGAGGATGGCATGCCACAGAAACTGCAAAATACTGCAAAATCCATAGCTGGGTGTTGTGTGCTCCCTCTAGCAACACAGGCTTGGATCTGGGTCTGGGAAATCACACACTTCCTTTCAATCACAGGTCGGCGAGCAATGAACAATCTCTCATCTGAATGGAGACGGCTGGCAGGAAGGCTGTCGTAAAGTCTGGATAATTTTCAGTCCACGTGTAAGGCCCAAGGGGCTACGGGGAACTTCGGGCCCAGCCCTGTCTGCAGAGGGCTAATGGGGAAGCAGTCTGAGAGAGAAAGCAGAGACAAGTAACCAACCAAGCGAGACCTCTCAGACACCTTGCATCTGTCCTATGTCTGCCTGTCCATATATCCACAGGCCTGGGATACTTCTGTGAACTTGGTAGCTCCCCGAGGGTAATGACTGTCTCCCCCTCTCCCAGAGCCCTTGGCACTGACGTCACCTAACAACAAGAGTGTCGGCTACCTCCCTTCCTGGATGCTGAGTAAAGGGAGGAGATCTGGGGAGAACAGGCCACCTCAGAACCCACGAGAGAGGATCACAGTTGACACAACAGAAGGTCACAGGCTAGGCCTCCAGAGGAGAAGAAAACCAAGCCCAGAGAGCAGCTGGCCATGCCCTGTCACAGGCAGACCCCTGCCTGTGAACCCCTTTTATAAAGGAGACGACTCACATGACCCCAGTGCGGTACAGATCAGAGGGACCAAGTCACACTTGTGACCCAGTCTGTCAACCTGGAAACAAAAAGATGATGCCCAAACATCCCCACTGTTGTAAAAGAACTTAGATGCAATGTGGTCCAGAAAGCCTCAGGGAACTTAGAGATAATGGTGATGATGATGATGATGATGATGATGGTGATAACCAACATTTACATAGTGCAAGCTATGTGCCAGAAACTTCTGGAAGCTTCAGTAGACTTTTCTGTCTCATTGAATCCTCACAGCAACCTGCCTATGAAATAGGCAGTATTATCATCCCCACTTCACAGATGAGGAAACTGGAGGGGCACAGTCACTTGCTCTGAGTCACACAACGAGCCTGAAAGGCAGCAAGGGTGCCTGGAAGTGAACTTTATCATCTGATGTTAGACTCTCTCAGATGCCCCTGTCTGACCAAGGCAGGGTGTAGGAGCCCTGAGGTGAGGACTCCCCTTCCAGGGCCAACCCAATCTCTCCCACTCAGATCACCAGGACGGTCACCATGTGGCCAATCTGCAGGGCATTCCTGGCTGCTCACCATCAGCTCTGGCTCTGGGTGCAGTGATGCCCCTCAGTCTCTGCGCAGTGTCACCCCACCCTAGTGAGGGGACAGATTAGTAAGCACTGCCCAGGCTCTAATTATGCTGCCAGTACCCAAGACTCCTGGGTTTTGCAGCTAAAACACATTCAACACTTAAAACAAGGCAGCTTGTAACACAATGCAGTAAATGCTAAGTGCCAAACGGCTGTCCCTACACCAGATGTGACTGATGGACTGAGCTGGATCAAGGGCACAGGGAAGAGGAGCCATGAACTAGAAAGGTGGATCAATGGGTCAAACTTACATGGTCAAGAAGAGAGGGTGGTGTGGACAGTAAGAGCACTTCTGAGCACACAGAGGCACTAGGATCCCCTTCTTTTTCTCTTCCAGGGCCTTCCAGAAGAAATCTAGCTAACCTTGTTTAGAGACGAAGCAGTAAAGAGTCAGGTCTTGGAATCAGAGACTCACATCAGGCTCTGCAAATTCCTACCAGGCTG